TAAGAAGTTTTATAAAATATGTATATATGTACATATATTATATATATATATATATATATTTCTTTATAAATAAATAAAATTAATAAAATACAATGTTATTTATGCAATTATATGATAAGTAATTATATGATAGTTTATAAAATAGTACAATAAAAGCAACAGTAACAATTACAAAAAATAAATGACATACCCCTGAATTCTTTCGCAATTCTAATGTTTTTGTCATGATTTGATTTAAATTCTTCTCTCTGTCGCCATGAGCAGGATGTGTTGATATCCATGGAAATTCTGGAGGTAATGTATGCATTTCTGTAAGTGTCCTCATTATAGCCCAAAATACAACAGCTTCACGAATATCAATACAAGCCTGTGTATAAAAATAATGGATATTAATTCATACATAACAGTTAATTTTCGTATAAATGCATATAAACAGTAATAATAAAATGTAAAATATAATATTGGATTCTATAATGTCATTGTATAACATACTTTTGCAGCCAGTTTAAGTCCTACTTCATCAGCTTCATTTTCCAAAACTCTACTGAATGGAAGTTTGTACATGATATTCACAATTCGTTCTACTATCATATGAATTACAGCAGCTGCCATATCAGGAAATAATGCCCAAATTAATAATATAGGTATTGTTATTAAAAAGTCCCACAATAGTTGATCCGATAGTGCTTCAAGCTATTGATAAAAAAAATCATCGATTATTTATATTTTATAAATTAATACATAACATAAAAAATATTCGTGTTATTACTTACGGAATGTGATAGCAACGAATGAGCCATTTCATGGGCTAAAACAATACCTAATTGGTCGTCATTTTCGATAATTTTTAAAATGTCTAAAGATACAAAGATATTTCCACCCTACGAAGTAAAAAAAATAAAGATTAAAAAGCAAAGTAAAAAATAATTTTTTATTGCTATTATATTGCTGTATAATATTGATAATGTGCATACCGGTAAGATATATGAGTTTGTTAATGGTGTACTAATAACAGTTAAAGTCCACTGTGTATCTCTCATTAATTTTAAATCTCTATTAGCTGTACGAATTTTTTCAATCATACTTATGAGTCTTTTGTAAGCTGGATGAGAATGTGGTACCAAATTTTGTTTATGAATCTCTAAATGCTGAGCAAAATGTAAGATTATGTTATATAATGTAAGCTTTTAAAGGATATGTCTTACAAACATCTGTGAAGGTTTTGAAATATTTTTTTACATTACAATATTTACGTAACAGCAAATAATGGAGTCATAATTAATAGATATATTATGACTATATTATTATTATGACTATATTATTTACTTACAGCTTCAAGAATCATTTTTCCTAATTTCTTCTCTTGCTCCTGGTTAAAAATTATAAATCTCGAACGTTTTGTCAATGGATCAGTTTTAAGATGAGTTATATAATAAAGAATCAACATAAGGCTATACAGTCCAAAACAACCTTATAAAAAATAAAGAAATATAGATAAAATATAGTATGTTATTTATAATTTAGTAATTCCTAAAGATCTTACCTAAAAATACATTGCTTCTTTCCCCAAACCATCGCTTATATTCCTCTTTCTCTTGCCCAGACTTACGTGTCCACCATTTCTTCATACTACGTCCCATGAATAATGCACCAATACGTAAGACAGGACGCAAAAGCATAGCCACTAATGGTGGGATATGCAAGTTTTGTGTAGTACGAAAGTCACATTTTTGCAATTTTAAGTACTGTGGCTTTCTATAGTCAGTTTTATCTTGAATGAGAAATCTCTTATATATCCAGGTACGATGACAAGTTCTTACAGAACAAATAAAAAAATGACTCTGCTGAAGATTTTTCTGACATAAACTTCTTGATATGGCAAGCATACTGACAGAGAATAAAGCCTAAAAGGAACAATATCCACAATGGAAACAAAAATATAGTCTTTCACAAAATATGAAGTTGTAGAAGCATAAATAACTAAGATTGTATACAATTTACAAATATCAATAAGAACAGTTTAATATTAGTATTATAATTTTTCATTATTCCACTTGTTTTGTAATGTTTCAGTGTGAAATAGATCATTTCTTTTAAAAAAAATATTACTGTCAGACATAATTAAGTCAATCACTGTAAATTCTTACAAGCTATTAATAAAGTTTGTTTTTATTGTCCAATATCATCTGTCAGATTAAATTTAATTTACAGCTTTGCCTTATTCAATGGATCAATTATATCATTCTTGTTTTAATCCAGAATAATTGACAAAAAATAAATCATCTCCTTTGAGAAAAATATTAATGTTAGACATCATTGTAAATTCTTACAAGCTTAATGTTTTTTTCCAATATTATTGGAAATATCTGTCAAACTGAATTTAATTTATAATTTTGCTTCATTTGACTCACTGAATCAATACTGTCCTTATTTTAGTCCAGGATAATTATTTCAAGATTATAACTTGTCAGATAATTGCATGTACTTGTCAAAAATTTCAAGATATGATTGAAGTAACGGAAAGCTGAAAATGGAAAAAGATATTGATATCAAATTCATGAAAAGAATTTTATTTGCATTCATCTATATTACAGATTAAAACATAGATATATATATATATATGTTAGTGTAATCACATTGTCATTAGTCACATAAATCATTATCATACCCAATATAATCTAATCCAAGTGGGATTCATGATTATTCAGTTATGTAAGGTGACAGTAAATATTTAATTTGATCTGCTCCACTTAAAATTTGATAGAAACGTATTAATTAATGCTTCTTCGTAAAAATTAGAGTTCGAAAAGTAAAAATTGTTTTACGATAGCATAAAAACATAAATCCTAAAAGTGACAATTGTGAAGGTTAGGAAATCTAACGAAATGCAGCGACGTGAGCTAACATGAGCATGCGCTATGATATTAAAAAAAGTTTACGCAAAAATACAATACATCGATTGAATGTATTTTTATCGAAATGTAAGTGGAACGGGTCAAACTAACATTTATCTCTCATAAGATTTATTTTCTTTTTAGCAGTTTTATTTATATATATATAACGTATGAAAATTTGATTTAAATTCAAAATATTTCAGAATTAGCATTTTTTAGTAAATAATATAGCTTAAAATAATTTTATTTAATAATTTAATTTAAATTTGTTTCAATATGTTTAAATTAAAAAATATTATGGCCCGTTTCAGAACATGCTTTATAAACATTATATATGTATAAAAAGATATCAGCAAGTTAAGATTCTACGTACAATTAAACGTAATGTATAAAACTATTGTGCGAAAAATCGGATTGGAGAATAGTAATTTAAGATAGAGTTGTGTGATTTTCTCGAAAACATAAATCAATATTATATATTTTCTCCTTCTTTCTTTTTTAATTTTTTCTCTAATGCTATTTGATGTGTAAAAAATACAACATGTATAGAGCAATATTTGCAACAAGATCGATCTTATACTTGGAACGAAATCGCCTTAAGTAAAACGATTAACTTATTAAAGATCTGAAAAAAATCGCCTTACGTTGTGTTACGCAATTTATACTATTCGCAGTATTTCGATCATTCATAAGACAATTTTAAATATATAAAATCAAGCTACCATCAATATTATTCGCAACAGTGAAATTAAAAAAGGTTTAATTTAGAGATATATACGCTCCGGGAGAGCTTTCGCAAGGTGTAAAATGGCGAGAAGTCTCGTCACTTCACAGTTCATGCAACACATCCATACATACTACGCGCGCGCGCCCAAAGTAACACCCAAGGCACCCAGGCTCAATCAAGTACAGGCTTGCTGGAGGTGCAAGCGTACGTGTGTGTGTGTAGAGGTGCGCGCTTTTCTATTCGCGCGCGCGTATATGTGTGTTTGTGTAAACGCTACTTCGAAAGAGCGCGTGTGTGCGTTCATCATGAGTCACAGAACCCGTGGTCGCCTCTCTCCGGTCGCGTTCCGTGATTAAGCCTCCCTCGTGTCGACGGGCGACGACAGCGGAAGTGCGACTGTGGTCCCGGGAGCACGTGGGAAAATCACTCTCGTATCCCGGGGAGGCTCATCGTCCTGTCACCGTTGTCGTTACCGCTGTTGCTGCCGCTAGAGAAGATGGCTCTGGCGGCCGGTAATCGCGTCCCTTCGATCGCTGTCACCATCGCGTGCATCTAGCTAGTGTCGTGCGTGGCTGGCTTCCTTCCTCCCGTATTCCCGTTATCATCCCCTCGTACGTCTACTACACGCGGGATCTTCTCAAGTATTCGGGTGGTTCGCTCACTCGTTACTCGTCTTCTCTCTTCGTAGTTTTCCTCGACTATTTCAATTGCAATGTGTGTTTGTAAGACCTTCTGGAGAACGTCAACCCCGGGATGGACCTCCGTAGCGATTGTGGCTCATAGAAATTCCCGAAGGCGTTAAGGGAATTGGAGAGAGAGACGATCGAGAGTTGTGCGTGGATGCACGTGGATGTTTTGTATCCATTTGACTTCCTCTTTTTCACGTTAAGCATCTCGAAAGGTGAGTTATACATATTGTCTATCTAGTTGCTCATTTGTGTTTTTGTATCTTGTAAAGTTTTTTTTGTCAGAAGATTGTTGTGGATGATACAGATGTCATTATTAAATCTCTTTTTACCAGTTGTATATTCTTGTGTTTTTTTTTATTTCCAAGTAAATATATATATATATATATATATA